GTTTGAACATAGGATCAGTGAGAACATAGGATCAGTACGAACATAGGATCAGTGAGAACATAGGGTCAGTTTGAACATAGGATCAGTGAGAACATAGGATCAGTTTGAACATAGGATCATTGAGAACATAGGATCAGTTCGAACATAGGATCATTGAGAACATAGGATCAGTTCGAACATAGGATCAGTGAGAACATAGGGTCAGTTTGAACATAGGATCAGTGAGAACATAGGATCAGTGAGAACATAGGATCAGTGAGAACATAGGATCAGTTTGAACATAGGATCATTGAGAACATAGGATCAGTTCGAACATAGGATCAGTGAGAACATAGGGTCAGTTAGAACATAGGATCAGTGAGAACATAGGATCAGTGAGAACATAGGATCAGTGAGAATGTAGGATCAGTGAGAACATAGGATCAGTGAGAACGTAGGATCAGTGAGAACATAACATCAGTGAGAACGTAGGATCAGTGAGAACATAACATCAGTGAGAACATAGGGTCAGTTCGAACATAGGATCAGTTTGAACATAGGGTCAGTTTGAACATAAGATCAGTGAGAACATAGGATCAGTGAGAACATAGGGTCAGTTTGAACATAGGATCAGTTTGAACATAGGATCAGTGAGAATACAGGATAAGTGAGAACATAGGATCAGTGAGAACATAGGATCAGTTTGAACATAGGATCAGTGAGAACATAGGATCAGTGAGAATGTAGGATCAGTGAGAACATAGGATCAGTGAGAACATAGGATCAGTGAGAACGTAGGATCAGTGAGAACATAACATCAGTGAGAACATAGGATCAGTGAGAACATAGGATCAGTGAGAACATAGGATCAGTTTGAACATAGGATCAGTTTGAACATAGGATCAGTTCGAACATAGGATCAGTTTGAACATAGGGTCAGTTCGAACATAGGATCAGTTTGAACATAGGGTCAGTTTGAACATAAGATCAGTGAGAACATAGGGTCAGTTCGAACATAGGATCAGTTTGAACATAGGGTCAGTTTGAACATAAGATCAGTGAGAACATAGGGTCAGTTGAACATAAGATCAATGAGAACAGGATCAGTTTGAACATAGGATCAGTAAGAACATTACATCAGTTTGAACATAGGATCAATGAGAACAACATCAGTTTGAACATAGGATCAATGAGAACATAGGATCAGTGAGAACATTACATCAGTTTGAACATAGGATCAATGAGAACAACATCAGTTTGAACATAGGATCAATGAGAACATAGGATCAGTTTGAACATAACATCAGTTTGAACATAGGATCAGTGAGAACAAAGGATCATTTTGAACATAGGATCAATGAGAACATAACATCAGTTTGAACATAGGATCAATGAGAACATAGGATCAGTTTAAACATAGGATCAGTGAGAACATTACATCAGTTTGAACATAGGATCAATGAGAACAACATCAGTTTGAACATAGGATCAATGAGAACATAGGATCAGTTTAAACATAGGATCAGTGAGAACATTACATCAGTTTGAACATAGGATCAATGAGAACATAGGATCAGTTTGAACATAGGATCAGTAAGAACATTACATCAGTTTGAACATAGGATCAATGAGAACAACATCAGTTTGAACATAGGATCAATGAGAACATAGGATCAGTTTAAACATAGGATCAGTGAGAACATTACATCAGTTTGAACATAGGATCAATGAGAACAACATCAGTTTGAACATAGGATCAATGAGAACATAGGATCAGTTTGAACATAACATCAGTTTGAACATAGGATCAGTGAGAACATAGGATCAGTGAGAACATAGGATCAGTGAGAACATAGGATCAATGAGAACATAGGATCAGTAAGAACATAGGATCAATGAGAACATCAGTGAGAACATAGGATCAGTGAGAACAACATCAGTTTGAACATAGGATCAATGAGAACATAGGATCAGTTTGAACATAACATCAGTTTGAACATAGGATCAATGAGAACATAGGATCAGTTTGAACATAGGATCAGTAAGAACATAGGATCAGTTTGCACATAGGATCAGTTTGAACATAGGATCAGTTTGAACATAGGATCAGTTTGAACATAGGGTCAGTTCGAACATAGGATCAGTTTAAACATAGGATCAGTTTGAACATAGGATCAGTTTGAACATAGGATCAGTTTGAACATAGGATCATTGAGAACATAGGATCAGTGAGAACATAGGATCAGTGAGAACATAGGATCATTGAGAACATAGGATCAGTGAGAACATAGGATCATTGAGAACATAGGATCAGTGAGAACATAGGATCATTGAGAACATAGGATCAGTGAGAACATAGGATCATTGAGAACATAGGATCAGTTTGAACATAGGATCATTGAGAACATAGGATCAGTAAAAACATAGGATCAATGAGAACATAGGATCGGTTTGAACATAGGATCAGTTTGAAATAGGATCAGTAAGAACATAGGATCGGTTTGAACATAGGATTAGTGAGAACATAGGATCAGTGAGAACATAGGATCAGTGAGAACATAGGATCAGTGAGAACATAGGATCAGTTTGAACATAGGATCAGTAAGAACATAGGATCAGTGAGAACATAGGATCAGTGAGAACATAGGATCATTGAGAACATAGGACCAGTTTGAACATAGGATCAGTAAGAACATAGGATCAGTGAGAACATAGGATCATTGAGAACATAGGATCATTGAGAACATAGGATCAGTAAGAACATAGGATCAGTGAGAACATAGGATCATTGAGAACATAGGATCATTGAGAACATAGGACCAGTGAGAACATAGGATCATTGAGAACATAGGATCATTAAGAACATAGGATCATTGAGAACATAGGATCATTGAGAACATAGGATCAGTGAGAACATAGGATCATTGAGAACATAGGATCAGTTTGAACATAGGATCAGTAAGAACATAGGATCAGTTTGAACATAGGATTAGTGAGAACATATGATCAGTGAGAACATAGGATCAGTTTGAACATAGGATCAGTGAGAACATATGATCAGTGAGAACATAGGATCAGTTTGAACATAGGATTAGTGAGAACATATGATCAGTAAGAACATAGGATCGGCTTGAACATAGGATTAGTGAGAACATATGATCAGTGAGAACATAGGATCAGTTAAAACACAGGATCAGTGAAACATCCACTCTTTGAATATAACTTGTCAGATAATTTCTAAACGAACTGGATTTGCTCTAACTGACTCCATAGTAGCGAAGGAGGCAATGATGGTGGACAAGAACGGAGGCCTTTTTTAGGTCAATAAAGGCAGCACCTGTCAGCTGTTGTTTATTTATGTGCTTTTATATATGGTAAACCAAGTAAAAACTACAACAGTTTCAGTAGAATGTGTTTAGCGAAAACCAGACTTAAATACTGATCAGACATTGTTTTCTTCATGAAAAGCCTGTAGATCAACTTAAAGCGCACGCTCCATAAATTTGGAGATTCTTAAAAATGGGAATGACTTTGGCCTCCTTCGACACAAATGGAATTTTTCTAGTCAAAATCGTTATATTAATGTGCAAGCAGCAATTAGAAGTAGAATTAAGCTACGCTAGAAAGAATTAGAAGTAACTGGAGGCTTACTTGTCTATGTATGGAAAATACGATCAAATTCAAAAACGGATTTGTCAGTAGTCTACAAGACTCGGATATGCAGATGTTTCCACGTAGGTCCGACTACAAGTTCGTCTTTATCTCCATGAGGTTTCCTCTGTGGGCCTTCCAAGTAAATTCAACAATCATCTTGGCAAGGGCATCTGAGCTTTGGGGAGAAGGAGATAAGTTCTTGAGATATCTTTATCCTTAATTGAGACATGAATCTCCCTGTCGACTGCCTCGAGATCTTCAGGCAGTCCCCACCGCCATGAGTAATTGAAGCAGCTCCCCAGCTTCGTTTCGTTGTCCTAAGAGCCCCTGTAAACGAGGCCGTCCACAGTTACGACATATTCTGATTCTTTGTTTATATCGCTCATATTAGTTTTTTGTCGGATTCATTTCCTTTACTCGTGACCGAAAACGCTCAGTTGTATTCTCGGTCAGACAACGTCCTCATTCCTCCACCCTCTCCCTCCCAATATTTAAAAACTCTACACACCGACAAATTATGTTAATATAACTAGCAGTTTCCCGATGGTTCAGTGGCAAACGCTTTCGCGTATCATGCACAACAGAGGTCATCGAGGTTGCGGGTACGAATCACCGGCGCCATGGGAGTTATTCTGGCTTCTCCCCGAGTAGGATTTGTAGCTGGCAGACTAGGAGTAGCTCTCCAGCTGGCTTAAGGCGGGAATTTCGCATAGTATCCGCTACCTTTTCTATTTTTCTCCCTTATTGACATCACTTTATTTTCTTCCTTCCTTGAGTCTTCTCTTTTCTGACCAGTTATCTCTTTGTTCCACTTTGGTATTATTTCTTCTACGGTTTCGGTTCTTTTTTTTTTCTTTTTTCGAAATTGGATTAACATTTTGATCCTTTTCTTCTTTTATTTTTGATTGTTCTTATTATCATCAAGATATTTTCTTTTTTGACAACTTTCCATATCTAACCTATGCATGTTGGACGGAGTTTCAAATAAATTCTTTTAAAAGCTTCAAATCGGTTTAAAAGAACTTGGTCTCCCTTTCTTCCCCATTGAAATATAACTGGAGCCAGCAAGATGACTCAACTCCTCTCACTATTTTGCACTTAACAGTCTCACTGATTGGGAAGAAATATCTCACCAAACTCTCCGATTGTTGTGAGATGTAAATAGGTAACCTCAGTCATTTCTAATACAATTAATACGGAAGTATATGAAATCTTGACTTTTAACACGTCTGTGTTGCAAAAAGTACAAACCAAAGTAGCCTGAAATGTTTTCTCGATGCTCCCACGAAGAAGTTGAAAACTGGCATATTAGGTGAAAGAATCATGTAAGTTTGGCACTGTTACTATTTTTATTCAAACGCTGGTAGTACTTGGGTTAAATTAATTTATTCGTCACTTTTTTAACAGACGTCTTTAAAAAGCCTTAACATATACCAGTAACAACAATTTTATAAAATTTTATAAAGAAACCACTTTTGGCCCCATGAACTTTTGCGTTGCTTAGAGGTACACAAATAAAATATCTCTAAATAACTACCTTCATATTAATTTCATTAAAATATTTGACATCTCAGGCAACAGCGCAAATTGTTACACGTGAATTACCTCGGGCATTCATCATAAAATATATATATATTTTATATTTTTTACGCGAGGAAATATCCTCTCAAATGTATTATTTCTAATTGTTTTTTACAAACGTCTGTTTTCATTAGCTCCAAGTTATAATTTTTTTCTTACGTTTTCAATGAGTGGTTTTCTTGTGAGATAAATGTGCTGCAAATTGAGTGAAAGTCAGTTGATAAAATTGTTAAAAGACGGGGCAAACGGAGAGACTCTCGATGCATTGGCCCGAAGGTCCCTTGGGATATCTTAATGTCATATCCGTCATCTACGGGTTTAGATAGGGCCGAAAAATGGTACTTCTTGGACTAGGATTCACAATACGATCGTCTTGAGAAACCAAGAGGTATTGAAATGGAATCGATATCAGCGAACATCCTGATTAAAACTCTCTCTGCTTCAATTCTCTTGATGTAGAACTTCGATTTTAAAAGATCAATTCACGAGAATATATTGGGTGTTGTACAATTTCACGACACTTGCATGTAGGGTCGTACCACTGTCGTAATGAGGACAGTATATCACTAACACAAGTTCTACATTCCCCGGAATGATTCCCCAAGGGTGATCGCTTCTTTGTTCTGCGTATAAAACAACGCGTGGGTCTTGTAAAATGTTACAATTTCCGTCAAACCATCGAACGCATGCTTGCCAATAACATAACGACCGCTTGGTGTCAGTTCTATGGGAAAATGGCGAATCCTAAAGTTTAAAACAGGAAAAAGGAAACATTAACGAAAACGCAATGGTAGTGATAATGATAACAACAACGACAATGATAATAATAACAATAATAGTAATAACAATAATAATAAATATAATTTGACTTGAATTGCCGAACGTCAGCTTTTCTCTGGTTCTCATTTATTACCGATACGTCTAGCGATAAATTAGACGACGCTAACCCTTGTAGCAAAATTACGAAATTGCAGAACTAAGCGAGAAAATGAAATAGTACTTACTTTCCGCCATACTTGACCGATAGCACGAAAGAAGCAAACTAAAAATACGAAAAAAAAGGCGGTGAGGGCAAGAATTCACGCTCGCTAGAAAGGGAATAGGTACATTTTTATTGTCTGTTTTAATTCTTTTTACCTTCTGAGTGCTCTCTCGTATCAAGTAGTCGAGTTCTTTGGCGCTCTGTTGGACAGAAAACAAATCAAAATTACAAAATTTCATCATTTTAGTTATTCTGTTATGCACAATAACTTCCTTTCACTTTACCATAACATCAACTGTCAATTCGACATAACAACCAATGTAAGATTAAAAAAAAAGACAATAAAAATATGGAAGAACTATGTCCACCATAGGCCTGCAAGCCGTCAGTTCAGACAGATGTTTTCCTCGACTCTCAGTACGATCGTATTCTTTTTTAACGAACCAGTGCACAAAACATTATACATTCGTGTTGCCGTGTTGTCGTCTTGGATCGGTTTTCCTGCATCAGTATGAGTTAACATTAAAAAATTGAACATATTTATATCTTACTCTCATCATAAGTTCCTCGCACTTCTGACGTGACATTTTCCCGTAATACCACAACTCGTCTCCTGTGACAGCACAAATGACACAAGCATCAGATACACATGCTTCCACAAAAAGGGAAATTGTTTTGGCAATTGTTCTTGGAATATTTTGACGGAATTTTACACCAACTAAGACATCTAACAACATGACTTACCGAAAGAACTGTGCCTTTCTCGCTGCTTGCTCTTTGGAGGCATTTCGTTGAGAGTTTCTTCCTACAAGTAACGAATGGAAAATTTCAACATCTATTACTGACAGTAATCGTAGAAATGCCGAAATGGCCATCCATTTTTTGGCGAATGAGAATCCATCCGTTTTTTAGCGGGTAGTGTGTGTGACGCAGTGTTTAAGTGACGCAGTGCTCAACAGTCTTAATTGAAGTCTGCCTGCTACTGAAAGAGTTCTTTACATACTGAGTCAGTAATAACACCCCGCTTTTGTGTCCTTCAGTCACTTCACCATCAAGCTTCTGTAATTTGACGTCCTGATTCACAGCACTTATAGTGATGTGCAAAATTCAATACCTCAACAATACAGTTTCTCAACTTGGTGATCATTTTTCGCCCCAGTAACGAAAGAGATCAAAGTAGAAAAAAGAAGATTCGTCCACTTCACTCACACTTAGATTTCTAGCGGAGCGCGAAGAAGGGAATGACTCACCCGCCCACCTCCAATCTTCCGTTAGTCCGCCGTTAGTCCATACCTTAATCTAACTGAGTAACAACGGGAGCGATTTGAAAAGAAATATTTTTTCATCTTCCCCTTAAATTTGAGCTTTCTTACCCAAGAGGTCCCTCCTTTTGAAAACCTCTGTCTTTTTATGAGTTCTTGTTTCACAAAATCTCCGTCTCGAAAGAAACTTATTACAACAGATGATTACTGAGCCTTTAAAAATAGAGGTTGTCTTTGTCTCAAATTAACATTTGGTTCAAGAAAACAGCTTATAGATGTAATTTATTTTCAGAATGGACTAACATTAACATTATAGTACCTCATCCTGTAGCAGTTCCCAGAAATCGCCTGGAGTCCATCCGACCACACCTTCTACATTCATTTTCCACCAACCTAAGGACTGTACTGCTAATAACTGGCCTACTTCTCCTTTGCGCACCGAGATGCAGTTTGAATTTTTTGTTGTAAAGTCTTCCCGCGCGAAGTAGTGTTCGTTCACCTTTCCTAGAAGAAAGAAGTCTTTCCTCAGAAGGACTCAAAAGGGGACTTAAAGTCACTTAACACCAGAAATAGAACGGTCTCTGGGGGAATTTTGATGTTTCAAAATTTACCAAAATATCATTAGAGCGGCCCGTGATATTTGGAGATTATACGAGCCGGTCTTAGTCCCAAACACCTCACAGTACACAATCTTTATATTTGTGCTACGAGGCAAATTTAGCATACAAAGCACATATCTTTGTCTCTAAACCGGTAAACAATTGCTTGAATAGCAAAATATGATAAAACATGTAGCCGCTCAAAAATCGCACTCATTCAACAGATACGGAAACTGCGCAAACGTCATTAATAAGGGTCTAACGCTTAATCGATCTTGCGAGAGGCATGTTCAGCCAAGTTTTTTGCTGTTGATGGTCACTTGACAACCGTTAAAGCTGTTGATTGTTCTATGACTGAGAAATTCAGCCGTTTTCCATTCCCATCGCTTTCATTGTAGTCAGTTGAAGTGCACTCGTCTGTACAGCAACTTAAATTCAGCCTACAAGCCACAAAGCTTTCAGTATCATGTAGCGAATCAAGCGATGAGGACAATACTTCCCCTGCAAGTCACTCGCAGGGTTACAACCCACATCGCGCATCTTCGACAGGAACGTCTCGATCAGCGTGACTCGACATCTCGGCCAAACAGTCGTAAACTTTCTTGGCTGAACTACTCCTATTTCAGCGAAGCTCACCCTTACGCGTTCTTGTAGGACTTTCTCCGCAGTTGATGCGCTCAATAATATGAAGCGCGCCGAAAGAGAGACAGATAAAAAGTCTGTTTAGTTAGCCTTACATTACGTATATGGTATCTGTGAAACAAGAAAACAGAAAACAGGGCGTCGGTGTCTTACCAGGCTTCCGGATGTAATCTGGTGGGGCACCAGGCAGTGGAGGCGCTTCTTCGCTTGGGGCACCAGTTACGTCCACTGAAGTCTTCTTCTGCTCAAGATCGCTCCTAGGTGTTGGTACAGGAGGCTTCTGCACCATCTGAGACGGAGGTGCTCCACGAGCTGCCGCTTCTTCTTCTTCATAAGCGTTGTAAATGTCCCCAACAGATTTGGACCTCCTAGTCATGTTGTAATGGGAAACTTCCTTGCTCTTCAACAATGAAGTCGGCACCCATCCACTCCTTTTGGTTGCGTCTACTGTACAAACGAATGACCAGGCGCCATCCTCACAGAGAAGGCGTACCTCTTCTGTCGCTGTTAGGGGCAGATCTTCATTGCGATCTGGTGGAGGTGCGTAGTTTGTGATAGCCACATAATGCTCCCCGGGCTAAAATGAGATTGAAATAAGATTAACAACAGTAAGTCTGAAATGAAGATTGCTCGTGTTTAACCGTTTTATTATTTCATATTTGTCCCACTAACTGTCACATGTTTGCTTGCACCTTAGCTTTGAAAACTGAGGAAAACTCCCTACGTCGACGATTTTCTGTGTTTTCACGTGGGATACTAAAAAAGGGAGCCATTTATTCAACGAGAGCAAGAAATGTTGCGACATGAATAGAGGGAGATGAGCTGCAGAGAGTAACACGCTTAACGTAAGACACCAAGGACTCAAGACCAGTCCTTTTCAGTCCTCTATGTTATCTGCTACAATTCTGCTTCACAGTAGCTTTACTTCGTGCACTTTTTTCCCCTTTAACCATTACTGACTGACTCTTACTCTGACCCAAACAGACCGACTATGAACTCTAAAATACACGCTTAAATATGCACCATACAATCATGAGTGGCACGAGTGCGCTAGCGGACCAAGTGACCTTAGAAGATTAAACTTTTGTTATTATAACACTAAGCTAAACTTTTTAACAAATGATCAACAACGTACATAATACTTCCGATCAACCGAACCAATCTTTGACTAAGACAGCCAAAACAAGAACATCAGTAAAAGTCCTAGTCAAGACCAGTAGACATGACAGTGAAATCAGGAAGTTCATCGTATAAACCCACAAAATTTCAGACTTCAAAAGATCTACAGGATTCCACAGGGTTTCTATGCTCTTCAACGTATTATTAAACCATCAGGTTCAACCTTCCTATAAATTTGTTTAACTGGTTTATATCTCGAGGAATAAGTCAAGCCATAGCTCACAGTTACTTAGTCAACAATGCTATGAGAACGCATACCACATGTCGCGCTCATAACTTACTGTCCCAACATGAAGATCAGCTCTAAGAACATTCTCGTATTTGTGGGAGCCAAATCTGACGAGTCCCTCGTCCGGGGGTTGCAATAAACGCACCCTTGGGGTACTAGTAAGTGGCGGTTGTCTGAACTCATGCACTCTCGCATAACTCATGTCATCATGGTCTACACTGCGAGAGTTAGAGTTGTGTAGAGAAACCAGCGGTGGAGTGGACGGGAGGTTTGGGCAGCCATTCCGCTTCTGCTGGAAAATAAAAATGTCCATATTTCTTTTCTGTGATATTGTTGAGGAATGCAGTGAATGGAGGGATAACATGTCACGATCACAACCGAAAACACAAAGTAACAAACTTAGCGGCACAAGTTCATAAGGAGTTGACTGTTCATTACCGGTCTTCTGATTTCTGACCCATCTTCACTCATACTGTGGGATCTGTTCAGTCTAAAGACAGAAGAAAAAAAAATCTATATTGATAAACAAAATAGAAAAATCAAAAAGAAACTATGGAAAATACTTGGATACATTGAACAAAATATGATGAGCTCAGTTGGTTAATGTAGTAGTCAGCCATAACCACCCAACCGAGTGAAACTTCATCATAGACATATCACTTGTTATCTGCTCACTAAAAAAACAAATAAGTATTTTCGTTTCTTAAATTTCTGTTTACTGAATATCGAACCTTATCATGTTTGCACTTTTGCAATAGCCTCATATATTTTCGAGTTGCCCATAGCACATTTTGTCCCCTCCCTAAAAAAAACACCATTGCACGACTAACCTTGCAGTGATAATCAATAAAAGATATGGATGATTCATTTGCTTTCTTCAAATTTCGCAAAAATAATGACATTAATAATACTTATACTAATAATAATAAAAATAACAGCCTAATAATAATGACAACCCAGGAAGGCCAATTTGAGGCAAACGGAAATGGCAAAAAATAAGAATACTTGTGCAGTCGCAAACTACTCAGGTGTTGGGGAGGTAACAAAAGGTACTGGGGGCATTAGTAGCAGTCCCAAGGAGGCTGGAAAACAACCTTGGGCGTATTAGTGTAGACACTTCCGTGGATTTCATTTAAAAAAAGGAAAAAGAAAAGAAAAACAAGCAAACAAACACAAATTATGGAGCCACAGGGACCTTAAGAAAGGTGCTGGAGCACTTTGATGAGGAAAGATCGTTTGAGCTGTAAGTAAACTGCCTAAAACCTATAGACACAACCCGAGCCTCATTACCTTTAAAGCTATCATCGTGACAACCAGTCGTGACAGGAAAGTGATTAAACCAAAAATACGAATATCGTGACGAGTTTAAAATCCCATAAAACCATATTATTTCTTGATGAATCAAAAGCTTCTCGCTCTTCGTCTACTTTGTATCGCACATACTTGCAATTGAATAAGTTAGTGTTATTGATTTACTGCATCTACACGCCATAGTACAACTCAGACTATAGTACAACCGAAACTATGGTACAATCAAGACATCTCTACAGAAAAATGGTTTTGTAACAATCTCGGTAAGAACCTCTCTAGTCACCAAATATATCTTACCTTAGATGCTTTGGAATAACGGAAGCATATTGAGGAACAGTTTCACTGAAAGGAAAACAGATAACGTGCGCATTACTTTACCTACAGGATATTTTTTCTGCCTTGCTCTGTTTAGTTATGCTGCACACCTGGTTTCCCGGGCAAATGATCAGTCGAGCCGGAGGAGTTAAACATGATTTCTGAATTTAATTTAAAAATGAAATCCAGAGATTATGTTTTCATCTCCACCATTAAATAGTGAAAACGAAATAACAACAATGCACTTATTTTAAGCTTCGAAAGACCTTTGTAACCTGACTGTTTATTCATAATGGCGGCGTCAGTAGTCAAGTTTTCAGCACATTTGAAGAAAATTTTCAAAAGGTGATGCAACTGTTTGAAATCTCAAAGAGCGGGAAACAGTAGGGCACAGAAGAACAGAGTTGCTGACGAGGCAATTCAGTCTTAGTCATTTCATATTCAGATTGCTCATTCTGTTAGTTTTTGTTCGACAAAGCACAGAGTAAATGCAGCCTGCGTATTTGCTATTTGGGCATAAAGCCGAACAAATACAGTGTAACTGCTTAACATAGTTGTAGTAATTACCAAAAACGAGTTTACCTCGCCCCTGTAACCACAAAAATGAATATAAACAGTCGATCATGTCGACATACGTTTAAAAAAATTATATGATCAAAGATTCCCGTTCTATGGGGACCAACTGGCGCGTTATATATTACCTGGAGTCTTCAAAACTAAACTGAAGATTTCTGTTGGCTGATGGGGAACTTGACAATATCTCCACTGTAGCATACTCTAATGCATCTTGAAAGAAAGGATAGCAAATTAAATAAATACTACCATTCCTTTCAATTAGAAAGCTTCTTGTTAAATTCAGTGGATTAGAGAATCGAAGTGAATTGAGGCTAATACAAAGAGAAAATGAACTCGAATAAGGGTGAAACCAAAAGAGAGGTTAGGTAATTCACGCAGGTCCTCAAAAGGTGTAATCAAGTAGCTACAAGGTATTAAGAGAAAACAATTCTTGACTTAGGACTTTCTCTTGACTAATTAAAGAAGCATTGTCCTTTATAGCTAGCATTTGGGAGCAGCACCATAATGCTGGTTCCAAACGTTAATAATCATGAATATTTTTAACTTCTGAAATATAACAATTTTCCATCAACGCCAACAGCACTAATACAAAAATATAAAGTATGAGAATTACGTATTAACATTTACTGCAAACAAATGAACCTACGAGGTGTGGACTGCGAACGTGAAACTCTTGCTTTTTCAGAGGCTTCATTGTTGTTAGCTTCTCTTTTCCTTGTTTTGCTAGAATCTCTGAGAATACATTATGAAAAGATTAATAGTCATATCAAAGATATCAGTAAGCAAGCACTGTTGGCAAAACGAAAGAATCGGAAGAGTCTATCAGATGTAAGGCATTTCCAGTGCTACTCACTCCATTTGCCGGTCCTCTAGCCATATGAATACGAACCCGTTTATAAACAAAGTAGAGGATCAGTATAAGCTCCTCCTGGTAAGGTGCTCACCCCCCCTCCCCTTGAAAAAACCTAGCCACTCCTCTGCACAATGGTATATATCAAGCTAGAGATGCTGTACATTTCTGACACTCAAACTCACCCTATCCTCAAAAGTACTCAATGAACTCTGTCACAGCTACACCACCCAAGCTAAAGTTTTTAGGAATAAAATTTATACCTGCCAATTTCCTAAAACGTCCAATTTTTTCACATGCCCCATTCAAACGAATAAGGTCGCATGGAAATGTTTCCTGCATTTCCTACAGATTAGTCTGTCCTGTTTAATTTTAATGCTAAAATGAGGAAATTCCGGTTGATTGTTTGATGTTAAAGCCGGCTCGCCAGAAGTAGTTGTATTCTTTTTACGGTCTCAGTCAATGTCACAAAAAAACTTCTCGTAGTGAGATGTGAAAAGAATTTCAAATAGCAGAGGGCCTTCAAAATATGCAATAGAACACAAGAAGCCTCACATCTCGCGGTTTTTTTAGTTTTTTTTTATTTTTTTTCAACGGATAGAGGATGAACCGACTTCGGGTTATGAGGTTTGTTTTGGTGACAACCATCGTGGGAACAGTTTCGTGTTGCAAGGTTAAACCCTTAAAAAGGATTGCAGCGAGTTGCACAAAGATATGGGTTTAGGGTGTTTAGAAACCACTTGGTGCTATGGGAAAAGGAAGAGATGGAATTGAAATGACAAGCTGAATAATTGAGAAAAATAGTGGGTAAAATGTCTACTAAATTTGACAAAAATCTCTCGGTAGACAGTAGGAGAAGCGAACATATCCGACCTTACGTGGCTGAAATGCCTTCGATTGTTAGAGATATTCACGTATTTTTCTACAGTTTCATTTCGCTTGATCTCTCAGCCATTTGGAAGTCACAGAAGTGAATATTCAAGCTACAAGATCGAAAAAAACTTCAGGCGAAGGCAAGTGGCACTCAGCGCTGATTAGAAAGTTCGAAAGCTGGCAGATATGACAGGACCTGCCTGACATAAAAAGTAAAAAACTGTTAACTTAAATCTTGTACAACAGAAACATTCTGTTCAGGGTAAGCATTTCCCTCTTCAAACTCAATGTAATATTCAATTAGACTTTTTATACAATTGGTAGTAATGTCGCAATCTGATTGGCCAGTTTGCCGTTGTCGATAATAGCCGTTTTATTTGACGTCGGTATCGTGGTAAAAAAAATTGAAAGTTGTTTAGCGTGGTCTATACTCTCGTCGACGACGAGATTCGTTATCATAGTGGTCAAAATTTGTAAAATACAACGATTCTTTCAGTGATAAAGGCATTGCGTGACACGTTGACGCCAGCAGCATTGTCTGTACTTTTATCAAAACCGGCAGATTGGCCAATCAGATGGCGACATTACCGCCAATCGTGGTAACAGATTATTTTTCAATGATTTAATGTTTTTTTAATTTAGAAGTTCTACATGTTGATAATAGTCTTCAAAAACCTTTTAGCATTTGAGCCGTCACATCATGTTCAGTTTTACCTTCTAGGGGGAGGTGACCTTATACTTGCATATATGCCACTGATGCTTGAATATGAAGAACCCTGATAAGAAAACGGACAGTGCAGTCAGTTATCTCAATTACTGAGATTATTTAAGAATATTATATTACAGATAACTTTTGCAGAAAAAAAAAAGAAATACTGCATTAAAAGAAGCATTAATTACATTCATTTATATTGCAGTTGTTGCACATTAAGACAATTCCACTCACCCTTTTCTTTTGTTGGTCATCAGATAAGAGAGGATCTGCACTTGGCTTGGCTTGAACCAGATTGGATCCAGGTGTAAGACCAACTTTTCCTTTTATTCTAAACAGAGGTACAAAACATTTTCATTGAACTGAACTTGCCCGAAAAAAAAAAAAAGATTTGCAAAGCAAAAGTGGCTATACTCCAGCTATTCTTCAAATAACATACTTTATCTTCCACCAACCAAAGTTGCTGGTGGCCAGAACTTCAACTTCTTCTCCAGCTCTGTAAGTTAGTTCATCATCACTCTTAGCTGAGTATGACTCAATTGCAACCCAAAAGCCTGCAGTAAAAGTAAAAGGACTTGGTCAAGAGGAGCATAGTTAAGGAGGGGGGGGGGGGAGGGGAACTTAATGCAATAATTCAAAAATAAAAATAACAGGGATAGCTCTTCATTTTGTAATTCTTATGGACCAAAAAAGATTTACATCCTTTGAATTTTGAATATACGTGTAAAAGTGTGTAAAACTATGATAGAATTTAAGGCTCTGAGAAGAACTCAGGTCATGCATACTTTCAGTCTCCTGCATGCAAAACAGAGATTTCAGTAGGAATGGTAACAACTATTATGTGGCAAAACAGTGATTTCACTGGCCAGGGCTCTGAGCAACAACCATTTTGGTGGCCAATAGAAAGAGGAAAAAAATTGCAGTGACTAAGTTTTCAACCAGAGCCATCACATAGATGACCTGTATTCAGCAGTCAAGTAGGAGGCTGCAAGGATCGCTTCTATATTCGTTTCTTCAACCGCAGTACACAGATATGATTTTCATATATTTGCAGTCATTATCTAGGGGAATTATTTAGCAAGGGAAAAATCCCAAATTAGAATATGCACATTTCTCTACATTCCAAGGATATGACTGGAGTTACCCATTCCCTTGCTTGGTTTTGTTAATTTAATTGAGATACATTAATTAATTGATTAACTGAGAATTATTAAGTTATTTTAGGAGGGGGTTGGGTTGGAGCTTAAACTTAGTAGGAGACTTATGTCCTATTGTTTTTGCTGTGGTACTGCTTTGTACAAATCCTTAAATAAATAAATAAATAAAATAAATAAATACACTTTTCATTTTGACAGATTGTAACATTAAAATAACATTGTCAGCCATTCAAGTATCCTAAAATTTAAAAACTAGCAGGAGGTTGAAAGCATGAGCAATTGAAAATCACAAATTTTTGAAGCTGATAACCTTCTATGGTAAACCAGTTTCCCATCAGGCTGAAGGAGCAGCAAACAATGCAAGTGGCTCTAAGATACAGAGAACCCAGACTTGAGGCAGAACCAGAATACAATAAAATATGGCCAGCTACTCTATTAACCTTTGGAGACAAACTTTAAATCTTAAACATAATAAATTGTCGGGAAAAAATGAACAAGAATTAAGTAATTTAATGTTAAGTTCCCTATGGTTTGTCAGAGGTCACACAAGAACTTACGCTCATCCTCCTCAACATCTCTCCATTCCTCCTCTTCTGTGCGTCGTCCAGAGTCTACTAGTTCAAGAAATGTTGCTGGAGCAAAACCATGCTCCCCTCTTGCATTTGCAACAAGCCACCAACCTATTAAAACAATTGGACATCAAGCAAAGTAAATTTAGAAAGTCAATTCTAATATAAATACCAGAAGTGAGAAAACCTTACCCAGTTAACAAAAGGAACAACAGGGGCAACAATAACAACAATTACTGTCTATATCTCTGATACCCAGCCCTGTCATTTCATCGTGAATACAAACTCTTTCCTCTCCAATTTCTGGGGAAACATTTTGAATGAACTATTTTGCATTAGAACATTTCTCTCACTTTTTCTAAAACATGTCTTTTTGTTCATTTCACTCTGGACTCCTTCCACCTTGCTCTTTCTATGGTTGTTAAAATCCTTATTACACTTTCGAACATGCATGTACTGATCTCCTGCAGTTTTCTATTCTATGCCAATTCAAATTGTAATAAGGTCAAGAAATAATTCAAACCTGTATTGTTTTTTTCAATGACTGTTACCATTTCATTTTCTCTCAAGCTCATCTCTCCCCTTCCTCCACCAGTAAATTCTGCCACTGACTGGTATCTCTCAACAAGCTGTTCCTCACTTCTTCCAAAATGAGAATTTGGCAGCTTGGTACTTTTAGAAGTTAACAGAATAAACAGTCAAAAAATACTGAATTAGCAATCATGTATAGAGTGATATAAATTGGTTTCAAATTCGTAATTAGATTTCAACTTTGCACGATGAACTCTGGGATTTTTTGCAGAATGTTAACATAAAAATGCTATCTTTTTTTTTGGCCATCATCAGTAGCAGCAGCTGTGCTGGGCTTACCATTTTTCATTTGATTCAATCCTCACAAATGCATCTGTTCCCCACTGGCTGAAGAACTGCAGGACAGTGTCTGACTGAGACACAACAGGTGGTAGCTGAATCACTCTCTAAAAGATGCACAAGATTTTCAGACACTGTATATTATAATTATGATGCTAGGTTGGATTTTCATGGCACAAACCACAAAATTAAAGGGTTAATCTGATGACATTGATGACTGGGAACTTGAGACAACTATGACAGTTAAATTCAAAGAAAATATCATAACCCACAGAAATAATAACTTCTTACTAACCAAGCACAAGGGGTCATTCTGGTAAATATACTTGCCTCAGGTTATGAATATACACCAAGCAAAGGGTAAACAAGATTAAGTATCTACTTGAGCCAAGTGGCTCATTCAGTCAGAGCCTATTCCCATTTATACAGCACTAAGGAACTAGGAATAATGTTTTTCAACCCCTGGATGGGATGACAGTCTATCATTGGTTACTCCCCAGCATTTCATCAAGTTTCCCTAACAGTTAATTGTCAGCTCTGCCAGGTTCCTCTAAAAGAGATCAAAGGCCCTGACTATGAAACTACCAAATTAATGATTTGTTGAATGTTCTGAGGATGAAACAAATAACATATTCAAGAAAATGACAATCTTCAACAACATAATGTTACTTCCCACCTTTAGAGGCCAAAAAAATAGTTTTTTTCTTTTATTTTACCTAATTGAAGTTAAACATTTAAACTAACATGCTCATATAAAAAGTTCTGAAATCTTTAGTACCTGAGTTGTTAAAACTAACATATTGTCGAAGAAAAGTTAATAAATCCGGAAGGTGTCATAATCTTGTACCTGGGCAAGTTCCCTAAGGGAATTTTCAAAGCAACCCACACTTGGGGCTCGTTTTTCAAATTATTTGCATATTTTGTTTGCATTGGGCACTTCACAAAATTCACATGTGGAAGCTCTTTGCTTATGGGAAAATCTTTACTCATGGAAAAATCAAAAGCGAAAGAAAGTCCAGTAAAAAAAAAAAAAAACCAAAGAAAAAACAGGCCCAACAAAATGAGAAAGAGTACCATTCTGTCAAGAAAAGAAAAAAATCCTTTGTGAAAGTGACTGGTACTGGCGGAGCTCCACACACTGGCATCCAGATTTCAAACAAAGAAGTCTCTGTCAAACCTAAATTTGTCAAACATAATGTTAAAAACGAGGTTTCCTTTTATTTATGCAAGTACTAACCTTGATACAAAAAACATTAACAATCCCCATTTTGAAAGCTTTCTGTCGATTCATTGTCTTGTTTCTTAACACATTTCCTAGTTTTTCCATTTTTGCCACTGGTTTTTCCTTTGCCTTTGGCAACTTTGCCCATTATTGCGTGGTCCTCCTCAACACTCCACTGAGCAGTAGAGATTAAAAAAATGTGTCTGCAATGGGTCACTTTTCCCAAGAAATATTCATCCATCATCATTGATGTAATGGGGGTCTCGTTGTCACATTGGTTTGTAGTTACAGGAGGCAAGATAATCTCCTGGCATGGCACGAGTTGTTTGTGACCCTTTATGAGCTAAAATCTTGCATTTGATTTTGGGACGAATACATCTGCTTTAAGCGAATTTATAGGGTACTTAGATTTGACCAATTGTCTTTAAATTTTGCTAAAACATTCCAGGAATAATGACAAACAGAAGGGTGTTGTGAAATTTTGATATTTGAAATGTTTGTCTCATGGCATCCATTTAGGCACTTAAGTTGCTGATATCTAGACAACCAATCAGAATATTGGAAAAGCCTGACACACTCCTGTTGATTGATGCTTTGTGAATAAGACTGTACAGCCATTTTGCTTATGCTGCCATATCCAATACCCAATAAATTCAATAGAAGAACCCTAGGTCAGTTTACTGGCTCCTGACACTTCCTAGAAGAAAAACTCGCTTAAAGCATATTTTTATCAGAAACTGCACTTATAAAGCTTTTTTCTGATATATAGTTTGCTAGGATTTTAGTGAAACTAACGTGCGAACATATTTTCTCCTGAAAGACGCCCACAAAAGTGGGAAGTAACATTAAGTTTCTCAAAGCTATATTGAAGTTTAACATTGCAACATAAGAGTTTTATAGGACATTACTCTGAAGTTTCTAGAATGTGGCACTGGATTTCCACATGACATTCATATTTCACAATCTTAGTTTACAGCCAATCATCTGACATATGAGGTTGTTTATCTAAAGAAATATTTAGGAATTCAAATTGGTGCGTGCTATGTCTGTATTTGGAAAACTCAACCCAATATAGAACTTCAAGACCACAATCTTGACTAAAAGCTTTGATGTTGGATTGTGGAAAACAAAAATAAAATGTAAACATAAAGAAAAAGCTCGAGTTAATTACTAGTTGGGATATGATGCCATAGTGAATCATAATCAAATGAGTAATTATGATGTCAATAATAATAATAATAATAATAATAATAATAATAATAAGTGAATCTATTTTTGAAAAGAAACATAAACTTTCTACTCTGCTTGTGGTAACATTAATTGTTCAAGATCTCAAAGTAAGCATACCTGGCAGAATTCTTCAATGTGTTTACACTGTTTCTTCGCTAATGCTCCAAACAACATTCCCCCAGCAAAACGAGCAACTGTTCAAAAATATACACTCCTTACTGCAATAACATTGTCCAAGATAAATGCAAAAAGCGAAAAGGAGAGCTAAAGACAAATAACTTTGCATGTCTAAATTTTCTACATAGTATTTTAGCAGTCCTAAAATGCAATTTTTTAGAATAAGAGTTAAGCTCATTGAAAATAATTTAAGCACATTTTTCCCTCCTTTTTTTGGATAATTTTTTCAAATATGACTGTCTCAATACAGAATTGAGATGGGCAATGAAACAAACAGCTTACCTTTTATTCAAATTAATATTAACAGCAAAAAGTTGATCAAATAAATTCAGAGTTGTATTCTACTCAAAAATTTCCTAATGGATGCAATACCTTCAGTGACAAGGACTCATGCCAGATTACTTAACCAATCAAATAAATGAATTCTAAAAATTTTCTAGCTATTCTGAGATTCACACTCTAGTGTTAAATAGACTTCTAATAGCTGAGTTTTATTCATTTCCACCCTCCCAGAATCAAAATAAAATCCTCTTACCAGGCAATTCCGGAATTGTGATATGTTGTTTTTCTTGGAAAAGTTGTCGCAGACCAGCCTGTCAATATTGAAATTATATCAAGGTAATATGCATAATGTTTAATTCCACAGAATAGTCCAGTCTTTGACATCGCTGTTTGCCTCCCTTTCAGTTAAGAATGATGCATGATGAAATCACTCGGGATTCGTAAAAATATTCTGAGAGCCATTTGCCTACAGCCACAGTCATGTAAGTCTAAAACAAAACTGTATTTTTTATAAAGTTATCCAAGAAAACGTTGTTGTCAAATAATGAAAGAAAGGAAGGATAAAATTGACAACTTGAAGCCAACTTTCATCTGAGTGCTGCACACAGCATGCAAATAATTATCAAGGAATTAATTCAGAATTTCCCTTGCAATAGAGTTCAGTCGCACAACAGATTTCAGTCCATCAAATCAAAGATTCAACATTCCCTCCACCAGGCAATGTAGATTGTTTCAATCAAATTCCTGCCTCCTGGTGCAAAACTTGTGCTCAAATGCCCCACCCAATGATGGTCAATTTGTCTTTTTGTATAGGTGCAAAATCAGCGATAGTGACTCTCTACACATTTAACAAGCTTTTAAACAAGGGGACTATTCTTCTTGGCCATTGGCCATGGCAAAAGTCAACGCTATACCTCTAAACTTCTCCATACGAAAAGATAAAACATGTGTTTGTGCTGAAACCACTTGACACATCCAGTATAAATTCCCCACTGGGCAAGGATGGTAGTCAAATACCGTATTTACTCGTGTATAAGTCGACCCTCCTTTTTCAAGGTCAAAAATCGCATTTTTCATCACTTCTAGTTAAAGGAGCAGAATTCAGACTAATAGAAATTTCCCAAAAAAGTAATCTCTTATTTCTGAGGATGTGTTAGAAACACGGTGAATTAAAAAAAACTGCAGAGCAAAATGTAACCGTGTGCCGTTAAGTTTATTGGCACTTGTTTATATCACCACGATTTCAGTATACACGAGCTCTTCTTCTTTACTAGAGAAATATTTAACCATATTTTGTAAATCGCATCGAAACTGAAATCTTCCTGCATTTAACTACCCCTAATCTTCATGTTGAGTTTGAAAGGAGATTTATTGGACCGAAGAAACACCGAAGAGCTTCGAAGAATCGCGCGTAACAAACAAGACCGCGCGAGACAACAGCATTTGTTGGATCACTGAGTAACTGAAATCGTTCGATGACAACAAAAGCTCAGCACCGTAAACAGCAGCGAAGCTGTAAGAAAAAATGTCTGCTTTACAGATTAGAAGACACAATAGAAATCAGCTCCAGTGGCTTTATGTTTAAGCCACTTAAAATTTATTATTTCAAACTTTTTTGTTGACGAAGAATGCGCTGAAAACTGACGAAACTTGAACATAATTTGAACTAGTTTTGTAAACTCGGTTTTCCTAACGGAATTCAGGCAATTGTTATGCTAATTTATTGGATTGTTTGGGTCAGGTGTTTGTGTATGACTCATGTTTGAGTCGAGGGTGATTTTTTACGGCACTGTGGGTGGCCAGAGGGGGGGACGTTGAATTTTCAAATTGATTGCCTCATGAGTTGGGGTCAAGCGTAATCATTAAAATAATTATTTCTTGGCCTCTTCCGGAATAAACAACATGTTTACAAACAAATGTAACCACTGGTAACACATCTACGAATTGTCCTTCATTAACTTATTAAAAGTAAAGTTTTGATTAGTTTTTGATTAGTTTTTGCTTGACCTTTTGGTAAGAAAGTGTAGCATTGATTACTTTAAAGACAGTTGGTAACTTTAACACGAATTACATGCCGTGACAGGAAGCATTTAAAAGATAAATAAATGTTTGAAACCCTCGACCAGAGAGTTCAAAATAGAAGTGACACATTTGCGTTTGCCAGCTCGCAAATTGTTTTCAATTCTCCAGTGGATCAGCTAATCATGATTGCACGTTTCCATACACGTAAACCAAGGTTTCATTAACCACGAAAAATGAAGTATACCTGATACAACGACGATAAGCAATGCTTAACTTTAAAACTCGACCTCAACCTACCTGTAGATCGAAGAACATACTGTAACGACGAAATATGCAATATTGGTTCTCGTCCAGCCATCTAACTTTCAAAACGTATTCCTGCAAAGTTATGCCAAAGGGTGTGTAAACGAAAGGGAATTTCTCCATTTCAAATTAATTTTTCAATCAATGAAACAGTAAGATACGAGGAGGAGTCAAAAAGCTACGTTGCGAGGCGTAAGACTCCATATAATACGTACATAATTTTTGCTGCCGGAATGTTCTTTGCTACGGCGTTTTTCAACATCGACAACTTTCACATCGGCAATAACACCTCTCTCATTAGTGGATAACTGCCTCATGGCGCCGAAGGTGGGTTTATAGTTTTGTCCCTTTTCGGCACCAAGACCTTGTTTGAAATTGTTTACGTCCCATGATTCTCCCATCTCCGAACCTCCTTGGACCGAATTTGTTCTCAATGACAATGGATTCCCACGAAGTTGATTGTGTGACCTGCTGGCCGGAAGTTAGTAATACAGGTCAATATTTAACACGTGAAATCACCAACTGACTTGATAAAGAATAATCGACGAACTCACTAACTTGAAATTATATTTAACTTGCCTGTTTGTAGGAGATAGACTTGAGGGCGGTCCTGTTCAAGAGCCGGTATTCACTGATAGCCTGCGATATGGAAACTCTACGAAAACAGTTTCGTGCTTGTTGGAATGCTTTATCTATATCGTAACATGACGTCACAAGGGGTGAATGAAGCATGAAAGGTCAGGTGTGAGTCGGAATATAAACGTCACTCAAAATTATAAGCTTTGTAAAAGCACGATTGATATTGATCTCATGCGTAAATCGAAATATTTTCAGACTGTTCAAGATTCTTTCGGCATCGAATAATACTTCAAGACAAAATACTATCAGAAATACATTTGGTAGATTTTAGATACGTAAGTCTCAAGGTGAACTGTCTCACTAGAAAGCGTTTCCTTCAGCGTAGATCTCTAAAAATCGTGAAAAAAAAGCGTGATATTAAACTATGGATCAGCAGACCGCGGAACCTCCAGAACCAGAGGAATCTGTAGATCCATCATTTTTTTGGTAGAAAAAATGATAAATGAAAAAACACGGGCGATGATGTTACCTTGCGCTCGTGTTCCTCAATCCAGGTTTATGTACAAAGAGTTCCAGCATATGGGTTTTCTTAGAGCCTTCGGATGCGGCGTTATTCGGCTACCTGGTGGTACCCAGACCGTAACAGCTTTCAAATTATTGTTCAATTTTGTGCGACTGCTGATTGCTCCTAAAGACATTTCATACCCTTGTACTAGTATTGTGAAAGTCACATCAATTTAATTGGGTGTCAAAGACAGTTAAAACACATTTCTCTTTAAAAAGCATTCTCGTCTATACCAGAGAGCGAATTTTCAGACAGTTCTAAGGTCTTTTTGGTTTTAATTTTATCTCATTAATTTTCTTTCACAAAGAAACATAGGTTCCGGAGGTTACGCAGGTTTCAAAGGTTCCCAAGTTCTATCGCTTCCACAAGTTCCACAGGGTCCGTAGGTTCCAGAGGTTCCAAGATCTCCTGATCTTCGGTTTAGTTTACACCCAAAAAGAAAGTGTGTTCACAAGAGATGGTTTATACAACATTAACTTTTTCTTTTGAACTTCGTAACTGGCAGTCGTTGTGGCTAGCTATGAAAAACCAGCTTGCGGCAGGTAGTCCATACCAGGCGCTAAGTTAGTATTAGGGCCGCGAAAGTAGCTCACAGCCACAAAAAAGGGGACTAAATGGACAGGTCGCATTTCAAGCCTCTCTCTCTTTCTTCTGCTCAGCGCTCCTATTATAACACACCTTGTTTGCTTATATACCCCGGCTTGAAAGACGCTATGTTGCAGTGATCAGTGTGGCGTTTAAATAACCTGTCAAATGTTTCACTTGAATCCAATCAGTTCGAGCTGAAATTGGGGGAATATCTAGTGATGTTCATCAAGTGATATCCCACGTTTCCAAACTTTGTGTCTGGTGTGACGAGTTTTTCTTTAAAAGGGCTTTGCCGTGGGCGTGGGGGCGGAAGGTAGAACGCTACCACTGTGACCGATAGGAAAATGTTGCAGAGAAGTTGTGGTCATGTGGCCATGGGGGTAAAATAGTGGATGACAAACGACACCCTTGCAGCATTTCTTTCCGTCAGTCAAGCTTAATCAGTACTTAAGATATCGTGTGCTTTCCACGTTCTGTATATTCCAACAGATTTGGTATTATCAAGAGTATTGTATGGAATGTCATTAAATTGTACTCATGTTTTAGTCATCGTTGACATCATCATGCTCGTCTCCAACATCATCATTGTGGTCATCGTCCTTTACATTTTCTTCTTTATTCGTATTATTATTGTCATCGTTGCTTTCATTATCACCCTTGCAAAATTCTAAGCTTAGTTTATGCCACTCTCTTTAGCTTGAATATTCATTCAAAAATTTGAATCTGAACACAGAAGCCCTCGAGGAAACTAAGGGCCTGTTTACGTGGAGGTGGGGGACCCCAAGTAGGTGAGGTAACCCGCCTAGCCGAAACCGAAAAATAAAACGCGTTTATATGCAATCTTACAGCCCCGGGGTGCTGGGGTGTTCTTGCGCTTGCAATGAAGGAGTTTGAGCAGAGGCGTCCCAAGCTCACATCTCGAAAAAGACGAAACATTAATTCTCGGACACATATGTATTTATTCATGAAAGCGTTATGCGTTGTGTTACGCAGTGTTTGGTTTCGCGAGAAACCGTTGACTTAATACGTTATACGGAATAGTTTGGGAAACCAAATATGGTCGATTTACAACGCTAAATATTCCGAATGTGAACATTTTATACTCCTTGTGTGTCCGTTGTAGTTTCTGGTGATTTCTGCCTTGAGACGGCTAGGGAATATACAAAGTTTTAAAACACACGTTTCGCTTTTGAGCTTTTTTCCATGAACGCGACCCCGGCTAAGCGGATTACCCCACCTTGACACGTTTACATGGCAAATTGTCACCCCGGCTGACAGGGTTACCCTATCTGGCAGACCGGGCAACCCGCCTTTCATGTAAGCGTGATCGAAATAAAATAAGAAATTATATGGACAGGCGGGTTACCCCACCTAGGCAGGTTATCTCAACTACCCGGAATCCCCCACCTCCATGTAAACAGGTCCGAATTATCCATTCAGTTAGATGCGTACTATCGGAGAGGGTCTTCTCTTGAAATTTGAAAAATTTCCGAGTCGTAAGGGTCATGCGTTTTAGAAGCACCTATGGTCTACATTTTACAGAGGCGAATCCCTGGGAATGGGAACAGCCTGGAGCGGGGGATACGAGCCCTCCCTCCGTGACTTCCGGTTTTCTCACCACCAACTTGTCTGACGAATAAAATTTGCAATTTCTCAATTTGCATTTACAATTCAATAGCCACACATTGTACAACATTGTAAGAACCGAAACTCGAATTCCTCGTTTGGCACTGTCACGGGCCAATTTTCTTTTGCCTAGTAGTGAGTCATAATCAAATTTTCTAATCATCCCAGTATTCTGACTATCAACAATTTCATGTCAGGAGTAAGTATAAAGCATTTTAGCTTTCTAACCATTGGTGTTTGAGCTACTTTCTCTTTCTTTTTCTAAGTCATCAGGCTAGCACCTTCACTTCAATGATTATAGATGGTAACTGAACTTTTATCTCAGATATCATACACGTGATTGCAGACAAAAAATTGCACGATAAGAAGTCGAGTTACCACCTTATTACATCCCATTTGAAATAGCAAAATTCAGTGGCTCAAATACAAGACTAGTTGGTCTGTAGAAATATCTTGTTGATCCAGTTTTGAGCTGGTTTGTAAACAATTACAAAAGCTGTCTTTCATTTTCCTGCAATCTGATTGGTTACTAACCTTACCCCGTTTGAGCAGGAGTTGGTGCGATTCGTGAGCATTTTTTCTTAATCGAGGGCATTTTTAGTAATCAAGAGAGGGCATGATTACCTGTTAATGATTGGCTAATCCGTTGCATAAGCCCGGTGAGACCTCCTATTAAGGATTAATTGCACTTGAGTTTTCAAAATTTTCCAAATTGCAATTAATCCGTACTAATCAGATTGCAAGGATCCACCATGATTTCAAAATGGATGCAATTAAGTGTACTTAAAGTATTCCCCATGTTATGTCGCCTAATTTTCAAACCACAACATCAAATAGTTCAATGTCTTCGTTTCAAACTCAATCCAAGACTAGGAGGGTTTGTTTCATCAAGTCGTAGGAGGGAACAGTGAATAGTGAATACCCCACGTAGTTAACGATGAAACTTCAGGGAGAAATACAGCGTCACTCCATCGTGATGACGTACATGTTTATGACAACTGACCGGTGTAAGGATACTTTCGTGTAGATCAGCCGACTTCAATATGTTTCAAATAACATACAAGTATAACAGTGTATCTTTAGAGGATTTCGGATTGCGCAAATTCCCAAGAAAGAAGGTGCAGTACTCGCAATTTGGATGATATGCACACGATTTGAGGTATGTTTGTAGTTACGTCTAGTTGTCCTACATGAAGGTTGATCAGTTTTTTTTAAAAGATGACAACCAGAAGCGAGATTTCTCTTCGGGATATTGCTCACAAGATAACATTCTTTTAAAGCCTCGCACTTTTCATTCGTCTGAAACGTTTGTTGTTGAGAACATTAGATTTAAACATCGCCAAATAATGCAAAATCTGATTTTAAGCTAAATAAAGTAGAGGCAGACCCGCAGAGATTTTTACATATTTAAAAATTATAATATTTAACCAGCTAGGTGGGAAGTTTCAGTTCCAGAATCGGTGCACTTTTGGAGAAATTCAGATAAACGTTTTCCCTGTTTATCCCGACAACAAAAATGACCGAAACAGTACGGAGATAAATAATCTATTGGTGTGTTTACATTCACTCCCTGGGAAAATTAAATGTATCAAAGTGAAGACGAATGATGTCACTATGTATGGTAGAAGTGCCAATTTGTAATGTTGTATTTAGCTTGAGATAGAGAAATAAACATTTCACTCTTTTTTTGCTACGTTTTTATATGAAAATGAGGCCCCAGGCCTCGAACAAGGAGCCGTTGTTACCATGGCAACAACAGTGCTGCGACCTATAAAAAGGCGTTTTTGTGCATCCCCTTAAGTTCCTAACTGCATGCAAAATTTGAAAGGGGGTTGAAAATTTTCATTCCCCAAGATGTTTGATTCTCACAGAGACTTGTTCTTAAATTGTCTCCTTCAATATTATCAAACCTGAACAATGTTCAAAACAACAATTTAATAGTATTTCTGCGAAAATAGAAACATGCGATCAAAAAAGTGATCAAGTAACGGAGTAAATGGGTTTAAATTTTCTTCCCTAAGAGAGGAAAAAGTGTCTCCATGCTGTAATGAATAACTTCCGATGAATAACTTCCCTCCGTTTATATTAACTGTATTCAATCAAATTTCCAACAAAACGCAACAACTGTCATCTTGTCCTTCATTAGGACTAACGGTGATATGAAGAGCAGAGAAAACCGAAACGAAGTTTAACACTTTTCCACGGCAGACATCTACCATTAGAGGAAAAACAGTTTTTCGGCGAGTTCAATATGGGGAGGCTTATGGAGTGACTGTCCAACTAGGAAAGCCAATTTGTGGGCGTACTGGCAAGG